TATAAGAAAGCACTTAATTATCACCCAAGGCCAGTAAAACATTAAATGATTAATACAATAAATATCAGAAACATTGCTGGAATTATGCTGGTATTACACAGAAAATCTCCAGGAGAAGCAGCACATTCACCAACACAGTAACAATACAGGTATAGCTGCCTGTATAACTGAGGCTGGGATCCCCCAGAGTCACCTTCAATCCCATGCTCTTCAGATCCTGGACAGCAAGGGGAGGGAAATAATCCAGCCAGTGCTCAGCTTCAGAAAAACTGACCACTTCTTCATCAGACAGACCCAAAGACTTCATGATCCCCCACTGGTATTTGGAAGAGCCAGTCTTGGCAGCAGCCTTGCTCTGAAAGAACAATTGGGATTAGGAAGAAGCCCACAGTCCTGTCACAAGAGCATTTGCCTCTGTTAATGTTATGGTTTCTGATTCCAGATACACAAGTTAATACGAATAATCTCACATCCTCCCTCTAACCGTGAGGGTAATTGATCAGAGTTTCCATTCTACACTCTGTATTCACAGAGTTTCCATTCTACCATACCTTGTATTCACTGTTCATTCCCTAATTCATTCCCTTCCTCTTCCCAGCTGTTCTATGTCAATGTCCAAAACATCTGCAGAGGCTCTGCCACAACCACCTGGCAAAGAATTGTCTGGTGTTGAGGCCCTGCTCAAACCCATGGGTTTTAGCACCATGGAAAGGTGGATAGGCTGCACCCCTGTACAAAACCCTTTGCTGCTGTCACTTTGTTCATGGTACTTTTCCCAGCTGTCGACCCTTGAGGATCTCCTGTCTCTCCCCAGCAGTGACCCAGACAAGGTGACACCTTCTGTGCTGTAGAGCAGCCAGAACCCCAGACCCAGCAGTTCTGGTGGGGCAATCTCTTGAGCATACATAAACAACATACAGAGCACCTCTAAACTTTTACTGGACTTGACTCTTTGCCTTGCTTTGGGATACTCCCAAAATCCTAAATCTCATTGAAACACCTGGCAAATGAAAATAGTTTGGATGGTCTTATGGAGCCTATCTAGGCTCCTAGACAGAACTGGCTAGATACCAACTTAAAAAACAATAACCAGAACAGCAGGAATACACATCCTCTACCTCTGAGAAAGCAGGGCTATTTACTACAACCTGCTTATGAATGTTCCATGAATGGATTAAAAAAATTAAAAGAGAGAAAAAAATGAGGGTATTACTCTGGTCCTGATCTGTTTTTTTCTCAGAAAACTATTAGGGAGTGCATCAGCTTACCAATAAAGGTTCATGCATTAATGTGGTAACTCTGGAACCATGCAGTTAATGCATTTTTCAAGTCTAAGGTAACTCAGCTACCTTAGCAAAAACAATAAAAAACTTTGTACTGAGGTTTCTATGAGCTCAAAGGAGGAAAAGCCTACAATGTACACACCAAAGTTTTGAAAGCACAGCCCTCAGTCCAGAAAGACTTGGTTTATACTTTACCTTTTTGCCTTTCGCTTTGTCTTTGATGATAATTTCTTCCTCTTTTTTACCAGAATTTTCTTCCTCTTCCTCCTCCTCATCAGGAAATTCAGGTGGGCAACCATACAATTCCATTTCTCTTTTCAGCTTATCTGCACAAGCCTGAACAGAGTTATTAGGAGTGTGTCAGCCAGGGCACCGGCTGCAATCACAGCCAAGGAGTGGGTTTTACTGATAACATATTGCATTCCACACTTTAAACTTTTTCTGGACCTTGTATTAACATCTAGGAGATCCTGCCACTTCCAGAAAACCTTCCAGGCAGGAAGAGGTTTACTGTAAGGATTTTATTGCAAAGGAAAACATACCACAGGTAAAATTTAGTTTTCCAGTACTTTGTCTTCTAAAGTGATGTTATAGCTCAAGCACAACATGTTTACTACAAATTCAGGTTCCAAAGCACACTGTCTTGGTGAGTTTTTCAATAAACAAAGGTGATGTTGGGGATGGACAGTAAGCAAGGCTCCAGTCAGTCCAAGGGATAAAAACCCCATCAGAAACAATCCCCAGCAACTGCAAAATTCTCACCTTGATGGGCATCCCCGTGCAGTGCAACCCAAAGGGAAACAGGCAGCTCTTCCCCTTCAGCCTCTGGTACCCGACTGCAAACTACAGACAGGGAAAATAGGAGAATGGAACAGCTGAAATGGGAGCAGCCCCAGGCTGAGCCAGCACCTACCCAAACGCAGCTGTGACTCCTTCTCTAACCTGCAGCCACTGACAGGTGACAGAGCTGGGGGGAACTCTGGCAGGAAGGTGAAACTGGAGTTTGTCTCCAGGCCTGCCCCTGGGGCTGCACGGTGTGCCAGGCTTCCAGGCTGGCTCCACCAGAGACCAACGGCTGCAAAACGAGGGCTGCTGTGGAATCCTACCCACTAGCACCCAAAATCTGCTCCCAAACAGGTCACAGAGCACAGCAGGCACAAACAAAAGAGTTCTTGTGAAGTTTGAGCCATTGAGCAGCATCTCTTAAATATCTCGTTTCAAAGAACGAAAAGGGGAAACACCTGCAGCCCCACCTCAGCAAATTAAAAATCACATTAATGGAATTTCCTCTCAGCTAGCAATATTCCTACTGAAAATGTTTTAAGTTTAATTAAAGTTTAATTACTAAAGCTATAAAGGAATTGACATGGCATCCTGTTAGCTCAAAACTTAACTACAGAATCAGCATTTGTTCTAGAGTAGTATTTAAAGGTATCAGCAAAGGAGAATTTTTACCTCACATTTAGATAAGGAAAATGTGTGTCCCAGGTGCAGGCGGCCATTCATGTAGGGGTAAGGAAAAGTAACAAAGTACTTCCCTTTGCTGAGAAGAAAGTCAAAGAATTACAACACATAATTAGCTTCGTAAATGACCATCAGACAATAAATAAGTGAAACAGGTAACTGGTGTGTTCAGGTATTATCAGCCCACAGTGATGTTAAAATATTTTCCTTGCCAGTAACATGAGTCTTTGATTTTAAAGAGCTGATACACTAACAGGCATTATCATCTTAAAAAATAAACACTAAAGAGAAAATCCACAGATGATTGACATCACACAGAAACATTGAAAGAGATATGGCATGTTCCCAAAGGCAACAAATTCTAATTCTAACAAATTCTGTTAATTAATTTCAGCAAAGGCTTACTTGAGATTTTAAGGGCACACTGCAAGCAGTCACTCCTTTCACACGGATATATTGTTGCAGGGTGTTTCAAAGGCTTATTACGTAGTTGGAACCTGAGCTCTCAAAGCAGCTAAGAAAATATTTACATTTAGGACACTGAATTTCTACTTCTGCCTTTGCACTCTGCTTCACACCTTGTCTCTTCTCTTCACACACTCCCTCGATCCACTGACATGCAGGAACAAAGGCCAAGTCATTTGTTTGCTTGCAAAATCTACAGTTTAAGAACCTGCCACATGTTACAGCACTTCAGTTATTATCTTGGTTTAGTCTGACTTTCCCACAAACCAAACATTAACCTCATACTGCCAAGGTCAGTGCTTTTCCAAAGACCTTCCCACAGGATTAACACCATTCCCCCAGGCAGCCTCTGCACACCTGTGAAGAGCATAGATCCCACCAATTCCAAAAGAACTGTGCTTCCAAGCATTCCCAGAGGATAAGCAAGTTTCTCAGGCTTTACTCTGGGGCACAAATAAAAGCAAGAGTAATGTGCTCTTCCCCAACAGAGCACTCTCCCTCCAAGGGAAACCTCCCGAGCAGTGAGGGCTCAGGCACCTCCAGATCAAAGAATACAAGTCACCAAAGAGAAACTGGTTTTAGGACCACAGAGGGTATTGACACTGCCAGGGAATGCAAAACCTTCTCTCATCCCGCTGGAATTCAGCCATACACGTACTCAGCTGCTTTATGTCATCAGCTATAGAAACAGCAACAGCTTGTGAGCAAGTCCTTCCAGCTGAGCCATGAATACTGCTCCTTACAAAAGCAGCCACCTTTTCCCCCCCACACATTTTGAATGAAAAGACATTTCAAGCAGTAAAACAACCAAGCACAATGATACCTCCTCTGGTCCTTCCTGTCTGCAGCATTGATCTCAAACACTCGATCATGGTCCCACTTCTGCTGGACCTCTTTTTCAATCTTCTTCAAGAAATCCACTTTTGCTGTTCCTTTACGCTCCTGTTCAACAGAGAAAGGGAGAGAAGTCTAGCTGAACAGGGTAAGAAATAACAGAATTGTAACCTATCACAGACCACTCCTGATCTCCTGGCACTGCTCCAGAGCACTGCACAACCTCTCAGCAGAGCAGCAGTGATGACTGCAAGCCTGCATCCCAAATTCCAGCCCTCTGAAGCTGGACCCGAGATCTGTTGGGAAAGTTAACAACCATTTTCCATGGCAAAAGACTCTACAGTAGCCAAGACACACACAGGCACGGACACACTGGCCATCTTGCCAGTAAAGGTTACTCAGAGAGATCTGAATTGGGGAGGCAGAAGAGGATATAAATCCACAGAATTCTGCTTTTATTCCAGCCTCTCCATAAACCCATGCGATGTAAAGTGGAACAGCATTCCCTGTGCCAGGAAGGGGTTTGGTAACAACTGGAACTCTGGCTCACGGACTGAGCCGTCAGGTAAAGCATTCCAAGCGATTTTAATTAAATCGGTGTTCAGTAGCCCTTCCCCTCATTCTTTCATCACATAACACACGGCAAGTATTAAATGATCTTATTCTTTCACCATATAACACACAAGAATTGTTAAGCAACACACACATTACAGACACACGCATTCTGCACTCATAAAGGTTGAGGATTTAGCTTTTTCCCGTCAAAACGATGACAATCCTAAGACCTTTACACCAAAGGGCCGCAGCCGCCGGGCAAAGGTCCCGCGCACGCCGCTATGGGACCCCGGTCCCGGAGAGCGCGGAGCCGAAGGGACCCTGAGGAGGCGGCGAGGAAGGACAGGGAACGCCACGAGTCAGCCCCAGAGCCCCGGCGCCCAGCCCCGACTCACCGCCATGTTGCCGCTCACGACGGGCGGCAGGGCCGGACCAACAGCGGGAGCGGCCGGGGGAGCAGAGGCCGTACTAAGGCAGCGGGCGGGGGGGGAACCGGGACCCTTTTTAGCGTGAAGACGGGGAAGAGCAGGAGAGTGGGGGGCAGAGAGAACGGAGCGACCGCTGCGGCCGCTTGTCCCGGCTGGGGACGGGGAAACGAGCCCGGTGTGCCTGTCCGGGGAGCGCTCCCGCCTGCACGCTGT